AGGAACAACAACCTTCAGAACACGGCCAAAGAGCCCAAAAAAACCCACAACAACCATTAGATCCTGGCCGTGACAGCCTTCGCGAATACAAAATGAGGCATGTCTGCTCACTTTGGCTAAACAGAAAATATGTCCCTTTGCATAATCAAACACTGACAAATAAGAGAGCACAGCACTGTATGTTTTCTAGGGCAATTTGTTCAGCAGAATGATGCAAGCTTTGTTATGACTGCATCATCCATGATTTCTAGGAATAACATGCTGCAATTCATATTATATATGACACAATACCAACTTCATCATTCTTGTTTTGCCTAAAAAGCAAGTTCAGTCCAAACCCAGTCATAGATTTATTCATAGATACAGTCAAAGATGTATTTTAGTCATTTCTGGTTTAAATTGAGATCCCTTCCCTTTATCCTCCACCATTCCCAAGTCAAGGGCTGTATATACTGACCCAATAGCATGTCTTGAAATCTAGAGCCAATTTAAACATCATTTTTATTCTCAGTGACCCAGAATTAGTAAAATTTGACTACATTTATTTCAGAAGCATTTTGGCTATAGACGAGTGTAATTATATTAATGTAATTAATTGGAGCTATAAATCTGTTTCTAACATATAAAATTTGAGAAGGAAACAAATGTCAATATACTTTGAGTTTACTTTTTCAGGGTATGGAAACAACCTTCCCTTCTTGTCTTTTCCACCCAAAGACACTCCCTCAATGAAGAGTCCCTCATGGCCAAATGAACATGACCCCCTGTGCCCCCCCCAGTTCTCCTCCCTCGCCTTTTTACCCCGCTTGCTTTCCTCCTCCATGACAAGAGGCATCTCCCTGCCCAGGTCCCCTCTCCCTTCACTGTGCCACCATTACCACGTCCCGAACATCATGAGTCTCAGACAAAGTAAATGGTGTCTTTGCCCTAGTAACTTTTCAATTCTGCCACCATCTTGAATTTCATAGTTCCTGGCATGCATCATATGCTTGCCTCATTCAAGCCTCTTTGAGCTGGTTTACACTCAGGTCTGAAAGGTGTATCACTCCTTCAAAGGTGGATTTAGAGAAGTAGAGAAGAACAAGTGAAAGCAGCTCTTTTGGAGGGGTTAGGAGTGATGCATATGCATAAAAGAAAAATCTGCTCAAAGTGGTATAGAAATAACTAAGAACTCCAGGTTGCCTGCAGTTCTGCTTCAGATTAGATATATCTATTTGTGGACCAAGAAAATTAAGGTAAAATGTCATTGTGTATACCATGTTTAATTTAATAAATATGAAAATAATTGCAACTAATAATAACTGCAGAGACTAGAAAACAATTTGTGACCCCCTTGGGTATCCTGACCCCCAGGTTGAGAACTCGTGGGCTAAGAACATGATTATAATCTGTTTCAGGAGACAAACAAAAACTCTGCCTATTCTTGTAAACTAGTTGCAGGATTGTTCAGATAAGATACCATATTTTTCCGTTTATAGCATGCTCCCCAGTTTTCTAACTCCAAAATTAAGAAAATGTAGCTTTTAGGATTCAGCCTCTTGGCTCAGAATTTCAGACATTACAAGTCCCCATTGAATCTGAGCCTACAGGCTCCACCTCCAAGAAGTGTGTTCCAGTTGGTTTGTTCGGCATCAGCTGACGTCAGTTCCATAAGGCTCATGATTGGAGGAAGCTAAGCCTCGTGACTAAAGGAAGCCTGTTTACAGAGGCAAGGTATGGGCCCTTTTGTTCTCTCCTATCTCAGCTTACTTTCATGTAAAGGACACCTCTCAATTTTTAGTGTAATGACTTTAGGTAAAAAGTAGCATCTTATACATGGAAAAATATGGTATTCTTTCTCATGCTGGGGAAACACATGTGAACCTTAAACTGATTGTTGTCTTTCACAATATCTATAGAAGCTGTAAGTGTAATAGTGTCTAAACAGTGATAATTTTTTATTTTGTTTGACACATGAAATGTTACCTATCTTCACAAAGAAGGAACCAGGGAACTACAGATCAGTCAGCCTAACAGCAGTCTCAGGGAAAATTCTGGAGCAAAGTATAAAGTGGTCACTCTGCAATCATCTTGAAAACAGTTCAGTGATAGTTCAGTTCACTAAACAACAACAAAATACTCAGAAGCCAACATGGGTTTGTCAAGAACAAATTCTGCCAGACTTATCTTACCTCATTTTTAATTAGGTAAACTCCCTGGTAGACAGTGGGAATGTTGTAGATGTAATATATCTTGATTTCAGTAAAGCTTTTAAGAAAAGTGCTCCATGATATTCTGTTTAACAAGCTAACTAGATGTGTGCTGGATGGAACAACTCTCAGATGGATACAGAGTTGGTTGTAGAATCATACTCAGATAGTGCTTTTCAGTGACTTATTCTCAAATTGGGGGGAGGTAATAAGTGAGGTACCCTGAGGCTCAGTCCTTGGCCCAGTGCTCTTCACCATTTTTATTAATGACTTGGATGAGGGAATGCAGATAGGCGGGGTATAAATCAAATAAAAAAATAAATAAATAAATTATTAAATCTGCAAATGACACAAAATTGGATGGAATGACTAATACCCTGAAAGACAGAACAAAATTCTAAGAGATCTTGATAGGCTTAAGCACTGAAAACAGAAAAATGAAGTTTAACAATGATAAATGCATCTACATCTAGAAGAAAAAACAAACACACACACACAGTTACAAGATGTTGGATACTTGGCTCAGTAATACTGAGTGAGAAGGATCTTGGAATTGTTGTAGATCACAAGCTGAATATGAACCAACCATGCTATGTGGCAACAAAAAAGGCAAATGCTATTTTAGACTGCATTAATTGAAATATAGTCTCCAAATCATGTGAAATACTAGCTCCTTTCTGTTTGGCACTGTTTAGGCCTCATCTTGAGTCCTGTGTCCAGTTCTGGATACCGCACTTGAAGATGGATGCTGATAAACAAACAGATTTGGAGGAGGGCAACAAGGAAGATTGGGGAAGTAGAAACTGAGTCTTATGAGGAAAAAGTGAAATCGCTTGGCATGTTTAGCCTTGAGAAAAGAAGAATAAGGAGAGATATGATAGCCCTTTTCAAAGACTTGAAAGTTTGTCATAAAGAGGAGAGGCAGGATCTGTTCTCGATCATCCCAGAGTGCAGGACATGGGAAGCCAGATTTCCATTGAGCATCTGGAAAAACACCCTAATGTTAGAGCAGTGGAACCAATTACCTTGGGATAATGAAACCAATTACCTTGGGAAGAGGTGAGTGTTCCCGCACTGGAGGTGTTCAAGAGAAATTTTGATAACCATATGTCAGATACAGTATACTTTGATTTGGATTCCTGCAGAGGTTGTACTTGATGGCCTTATAGGCTTGTCCCAGCCCCATTATTCTGTGATGCTCTTATTCTCCTCCTCCATCTAATATGTTAATGTGTACTCATTTCCTTTTAGATGATTGAAAATTCAAGCCAGCTTTCAAGAGTGAGAATAGCTGATGATCTCATTTGGGCCCAGTGGGACATGCTGGAACAAAGGCTATTCTACATTGTCCCAAAGGTTGAAGACATTATTTTACTGCCATGTTCACACACCTACGTGATTATACAACAAAAATACTGAACTTACAATAAGTTGCAGTGTTTTCTATCATAAGGCAGAAAGAACTGTGATATAAGAAAAGAACATAACTCAAAACTAACTGTTTATATTGTTGTCTCTTGATACGTACTCTGGTACTTAAACTGAGGAGGAGAGGAAAAGGACATTCTGTAATTTTAGCTGCATATTCATAATAGTGGCAATGAGAATAGATTCTGGAGCTGAGCACTGTGACATGTTAAATGTTGCTCCTCAGCCAAAGTGTATGGGAAGATACCTTTGTAAGAAAAAAAAAGCAAGAAATCTCAATTTAGATGTCTACTGAATACTGTTATGACTGCTAGTAACAGCAGAGTGATTTGCTTCTGGTGTCCAGGCATCCCAGCCTGGCATTTATCTTAAAGTAATATAGAGCTACTGCTAATAATATGGAATACCTGATAGAGGCCATGTTTAAGAAGGACTTGTGGCAGGGCTGGGAAGTGTGTGACCCCCAGTTGTACTTCATTGTTGTAAGCTGCCTTGAGTCCTTTTCAAGAAGAAAGGCAAGATAAAAATATTTTAAATAAATAAAATCCATTCCAGCCCCAGCCAGTACAATCCTTGGTAAGGAATCCTGGCAATTGTGGTCAAGTAATATGCAAAGGGCCATACGCTCCCCATCCCTGGATTATGGCACAGAGATACTTTTGCTCTGAAGTTTGCTATTGTTGATGGACCACTGGAGTAAACTGTTTAAAACTGTAGGGACACAAAGCTTCTAACTGTATTGAAATCTTAAGGGGAGTGAGGAAGGAATTCTGGAAAACTTCAGTGCAAAACTGAAAACCTCCAGACACTCTGTATCTGTAAGAGTCTCTCTGAATTAAAATAGCATCCATAACCCACCCAAGATGCCTGTGGCAGAACACAATGGGAAATAGCTATGATACATAGAAAAGGGTTTCCTCTTCTGTAATAGTGAACAATGTTTTATAGTAAGCAAAACCACAAACATTTGCAGACAGAAAGTAGACACTGACTCTGAAGGAGGCAGGAAGGATGTTACAGAGCTGTGTTGTGGTGAGTTTTAAGCTTGCCAGCTCATAATTGCTTCAGGGCGTGTATGTGCAAAGGAGGATCTTTAGTGATGGACTGCTTCTAGGGGCAGATTTACAAGAGGACACACGGAGTTCCCAGCCTCTCTGTTTTCTCTCAATACTAATTCTGGTGCTTGGAAAAGGCACTTGTAAAAGAGATTTGCTGGGGTGTGATAGATGCTTAAGCCTTTTAGTTTCTGCTGATTCTTCCTTTAAAATGCTTCCAAACAGTTCATTAAAACACGCATACTACACCTTTTCCCTTCACTTTTAGACTCTCATGCCATGAATATAGTAAGAATGAACGTGTAGGGAGATCCAGGCTTTTAAAAAGTTACTTTTTAAGACTACAGTTCCCAGAATACACCAGTCCACATGTGTAGCTGGCTAGGGAATTCTAGGTATTGTAATCCAAAAAAGGAACTTCCCCAGGCTCCACAGAGAATTATGGGTGCAAAAGCAGCTGCATCTACTGATCCTTTCCAGCCTTGTATTGCCATTGTTTTAGCCATGGGAGAGAGGAACTACTCTCTTGCAAAATACAATGTATAGTTCTATGCAAGAATATAGCCGCCCAGAGTAGACTTTGGTCTAAAGGGGCAGGAAACAAACAAACAAACAAACAAATAAATAAATGTGTATTGATTACCCTTTCCCTTTCTTTGTAGGAATCAAGGGACACATTAAATTGCATCCAGTTTTTTCCTGATAACAACTTCAAGTTGATAGTAAGTTCTCTTGGCAAGCTTTTTTAAAAAATTTCATTGTATTGGCAAAACACATCTTTTGCAGCTTTACAGCTGAATTGTAGGCAGAATGACATGTATCTTTGAATGCCAAAGAAAAGTCTGGTTTGCAGTTGGTTCCATCAATACCTGATAATGGATAGCAGTGGAATGTCTGGTTGTTTTCTAGTGAGAAATACAGTATTTAGAACAAGCAAAAGTGCCTTTAGGGAGGATGGAGAGCCTCAGGTCCACCGGGCATTTTGGACTTAAGCTCCCAGAAACCCAAAGTGACATAGCTAGGATGAGGATTACAGGAACTGCAGTCCAAAGTGTCTGAACACATCTATGTTTGGCCTATTTTTTGTAATAGAATTATGTTTAACAAACCCAGTTGATGGATAGTGTTGAAGCAAGAAACTTACAAATAGTAAAGAAAGAAAAATCAGAAAGTCTTTTGATTTCCATAGTGGTTAGATTGGTCCTGATTGACAATGGGTTTATTATAGTTAACTTATTACAAACTTTAGAGTTCTAATAATGTAAGTTATGTTAAAAATGCTTTGATTATTCTGAAACTCAGTCTAGAAATAATCAATTTATCTAGTCACTGGTTTATTTAATGACTTAATTTGATAATTATTTAGAATCTTACTCCTTTTTTCTATTTACAGAAAAGAGGGCTGTATAAAACTTTTTAAATGTTGCATTTGAGGTAATACAATGTAAACAGCTATAAAAATCAATTACTTGACTTCTCTAGTACATAAAGTTATCAAATACTGTTATTAAATAATATAAGGCTCAAAGCCATTTGGAATGCACAGGATGGACAGAAGCTTTCTTAGGCAATTAGCAGAAATAGTTAAAGAAGAGGAAACAGCTGGGAGTTGGATAACACAGGTAGAGCTAAATCCAGTGGTTAGTCCCAGAAATAGCACATCTGTTGAAAACCAGAATGCTAGTTTATCAAAGTCCTATTTATTTAATAATATTCTTGTTGGGATTATTCATTGAATTTAACCCAAAAGGCCAACATAGAAAGACTTCTCAGTTTAATATTCCAAAAGAAGGGTCATCAGCATGTGAACATTGTAACTCTAATGGGCCCTAGCCAGCATAGTCAGTGATGGGGGATGATGGGAGTCGCAATCTAGCAACAATTGAAGAGCTACATATTTGCCTCTTCTTGGTCTAAGAAGTTGTTGTTACTAATTCTTGGCCTGTTGTTACTGATTCTTAAGATAATGTGTCTTTGTTCTTTTACAAACACCTTCATTAGAGTTACTGTCTGACTCTCTCTGCCAGGGCTTTACAATACTGTATTGCACCTTTTTTTTAACAGCTTGAAGTACCTTTTGATACCTCTTTGGCTGATGTAGCATTAAAGTGAGTCTTTTCTTTATTTGTATTCATCCAGAGATGTTTAAGCCTGGATTGAGCACAGTCTGCATCATATGCTCCTGCATGTACCTCTTTTAGCTCCAAATTAGTTGCAAAAATATTCCTGCTCTTATAGTCAGATCACCTCTCTGGGTTGTGTAAAATGCAGGATATGACTCAGCATGTATTTTTTAGAGGGCTGAATGGTGTATGCATGAACCGGCATCTCAAGTAACTCCTTTCCTGAGAGCAAGTCCTTTAACGTGCCCCCAATCTGGTTGCTTTTTAGAGAGTCCCAGATCTATTTTATTTTTGCAAATTCTACTGCAATAGTTCTTGTTTTGTTGGAAGGGAAGAAAGCCCTTCCTTATATTTTAAATGCGTGACATGAGCTCCATATGATGTCTCAGTAGAGCCAGAAGCGTGGGCTCAATCACTGCATGGAGCCCTCTTTGCATGTTTATTTGTTTGCTCCTAAGTCCCAGAACTCTCCAGAAGTCTTATACATGTCACCTGAGATTTTGTTATGTGGACATTTCTAGAGCTCAGAAAAATTACTTTTTTGACTGTAACTCCCAGAATTTCTTGGCCAATCAAACCACTGACTTTCCCAATCTCTTGAGAATTTTATCTTGCTCAGGTGTATTGGTGTCCCATTGCTGGTTGCATTCTTTCCTGGCATCCATCTGCAGACCCAACTCTAGGCTATAATCTTGTTTTCCATTTAGGATTATTCTGCTTGCTTCTCCTCCCATTTTATTCTCAGTGGCCTTTTCACTGTGAAAGAGGGTGTTGAAACCAGAATCAGGCTGGCTATTAGCTGAAAAATCTCAGGTATTGATCTGCTTCCTTCTGCCTCAACTGAGGAAGAGGAAAACTTGAACCTGGGAGATAGTAATTGAGCACTCTGTTCTGTTTTTCATCTCAGTTTTCTTCCCAGGGATGTTTCTGATTGGAAATTAGAAGTGTCAAAAGGATGACAGTACTGTACAATAGGCAGCATTGTACATCTGCCATCTTTCTGCGCTCTGGTTATTTTCAGGTCCTTCCTTCTGCCTCAACTGAGGAAGAGGAAAACTTGAACCTGGGAGATAGTAATTGAGCACTCTGTTCTGTTTTTCATCTCAGTTTTCTTCCCAGGGATGTTTCTGATTGGAAATTAGAAGTGTCAAAAGGATGACAGTACTGTACAATAGGCAGCATTGTAAATCTGCCATCTTTCTGCACTCTGGTTATTTTCAGGTCCCTCCTCCACAGCATTCCACTCATAGCATAACCTTTTGCTAGGAAGATATGATTGCAGATGATTTTTGATGTCCTTATGTCCTTATTTATATCTATAGACTATTAAACTATTATAAGATGTTCATCAATAGCTTAAAGCAGTCAGTGATTTCTCATGTATTCCAGGATACAGCAACAGTGTATTTTCCAGTTTACTAAAGATGTATGAGATGGTACAGATGGCTTCATCCGTTCAAGACTCAGTTAAGCCATAAAAGGGCACTAAATTATCATAGCAAAATAGAGCCACGGTGAGCATTAGGCTCACATGCTTCCCCTGTATTCAACAGAGTAATTTATTTCACTTTCCAATTGAAATTTGGTCCAAATGTGGAAAACCATGATTTGTGCAAACCACAGCTTGCCACCAAACAAAGATATAACTTTATCTTGGGATCTCAATTCAATAGTAAACTGTGGCTTTCATGAGCCATAACGTATCATATTTGGACAAAGTGACAAACTGATAATGGTGAAAGATTCACATGCTTCCAATCTCTTTCTGTTTGTCAGGAGCAAGAGAGATCCCTGGGGCTCAGCCTCATAATGGCATGCCATGATTTGTTGTTACATTTGAATGCTCTCAGTGTCTACATTGACCTACCCATTGGTCACTGATTTGACTTCAGAGATGCCACTCTTTTGGATGAAATAGTAACTCTTGATTTTTCTTCCCAGACCTGTGAATTTAGAGTATAATTATATTCAAGATCAAGAGTTTATACCTAAACCCTTGAATGTACAAGTTTTTACCAGTGAAACAGGTAATACCTTAATGAGAAAATATTGTATAAACCTCATTTATTAGAAGTTGTTGAATCTTATGTGCAGCTTAATGATTTCTGTTGTTGCACCACCATGATACAATGAATTTAGACTCTCTCAGTATATATTCCATGTTTTAGAGAACAACTTTAATGCACCTATAATGCTTGTGAATAACAATTTTAATTTTTTTTTCTTCATAAGTGTTGAACTTTGTTTCTCTGTCCTTTCTGTTTCACATATCCTTCCAAGATTACCATCATGACTTCAAAAGTATTGTGAGGAACAGTTTTTGTATTTCAAACTAATACAAAATGTACTTATTACTACAGTGGACCCTCGACTTACAGACGGCTCGACTTACAGACTTTTCGAGTTACAGACTTCTCTGGCTGCAAAATTTAGATTCGACTTGCAGCCGGAGAATTGACTTACAGACCAGAAAAAAACCAAAATGGAATAAAAATAGAATAAAAACCACTGGTTATAGGATTAATCAGTTTTCAGTGCATTGTAGGTTGCCTTCAACTCAATACACAAAGGATCCTTTGATTTATGTGTTTTACCACTGAAAAAGGGTGAGAAAGCAAACCTTTCTCAAAGCTGTGATCATCCTCTCTCTTTGTCGAATAGACTGTATAATCATATTTCGCCTTCAACTCAATACACAAAGGATCCTTTGATTTATGTGTTTTACCACTGAAAAAGGGTGAGAAAGCAAACCTTTCTCAAAGCTGTGATCATCCTCTCTCTTTGTCAAATAGACTGTATAATCCTATTTCACTACTGTGTTTCCCCGAAAATAAGACAGGGTCTTATATTAATTTTTTGCTCCAAAAAACACATTAGGGCTTATTTTCCGGGGATGTTTTATTTTTTTCATGTACAATCTACATTTATTCAAATACAGTCATGTCATCTTCTGGTTGCTGCACAATGGTGCAGGGCAGGCTTTCACTTAACTAGGGTTTATTTTTCGGGTAGGTCTTATTTTCAGGTTAGGTCTTATTTTCAGAGAAACAGGGTACTAGGAGCAAATTTTGCTAGAACTCCCCAACTATTGTGTTAATACTCTGGATTTGAGAGTGGCATCATACGATGGTGCTGCTTTTTTTACTGCTGTACTAAACAGTATGGTGTTGATTGGTTCTAATGTACATTGTTTGTAGTGGTAAACTGTGACTTTTAGTTTTTTTAAATTAAACTTTCTCTGGGCCTCTCAGCCAAACACCTGCAAGCACCAAACAATTTGCCACAAGGACCAGCCCTGTGGCTACTAACACAATCTCAATGAACAAAGGAGGAAGGATTGAGCCTGGAATGTAGGATCTATGAACCTTGGTAAGCTGGATGTGGTCAAATAGGAGATGGTAAAAATAAACATTGACATCCTGGGCGTCAGTGAACTAAATGGACAGGAATGGGTGAATTCAATTCAGACGATTACCATATCTACTATTGTTGACATGAACCCTATAGGAGAAATGGAGTAGCCCTCATAGTCAACAAAGGGATGGGCAAAGCTGTACTGGGATACAATCTCAAAAATGATAGAATGATTTCAATACAAATCCAAGGCAGATCTTTCAACATCACAGTAATCCAAGTTTATGCAACAGCCACCCATGATGAAGAGGCTGAATTGACCAATTCTGTGAAGACTTACAACACCTCCTAGAACTGACACCAAAGAAAGATGTTTTTCTCATTATAGGGGACTGGAATGCTAAAGTAGGGAGTCAATAGATAAAAGGAACAACAGGAAGTCTGACCTTGGAATTCAGAACGAAGCAGGGCAAAGGCTAATAGAGTTTTGTCAAGAGAACAAGCTGGTCATCACAAACACTCTTTTCGAACAACACGAGACGACTCTACACATGGAGATCACCAGGTGGACAATACCGAAATCAGATTGATTATGTTCTCTGCAGCCAAAAAATGCAAAAACAACATCTGGAGCTGATTGTGGCTGTGTTCATCAGCTTCTCATAGCAAAACTCAACTTTAAAGTGAAGAAAGTAGGAAAAACCACTGGGCTAGTCAGGTATAATCTAAACCA